TCTTGTTCTCTCTCTTCTCTTTCTGGCACCCCCAAGATGCAAATGTTGCCATGGTTGAAGTTGTCCCAGAGGCTCCTTACACTCTCCTCATTTCTTTGGATTCTTTTTTCTTTTTGCTGTTCTGATTGGGTGTTTTTTGCTTCCTTATATTCCAAATTGATGGTTTGCTTCTTGGCTTTACCTACTCTACTATTGAATCTGTGTCAATTATTCTTTATTTCAGTTAGTGCCTCCTTCATTTCTGACTGGTCCTTTTTTATGCCGTTGAGGCCCTCACTTAGTTTGCTGAGGTTCTCACTAAGTTCATTGAGCATCTTTATAAGCAGTATTTTTAACTCAGCATCTGTTAGGTTGCTGATCTTTATTTCACTTAGTTCTATTCTTGGGATTTTGTTCTGTTCTTTCATTTGGGACCTGTTTCTTTGTCTCCTCATTTTGGCTGCCTCCCTGTATTTGTTTCTGTGTATTACTTAACGAGAGGTACGGGGCTATCTGAGACCAGATGCTGCTTGTTTGAAAGAATTTAGGAAAACCTGAAGCATGATCCAAGACAGGCCAATCCTATGGTTAAGCAGCTGGCAACAGCTTGGGTGGGCCTGAAAGTTGGGTGGGGCGGGGCCTCAGGGAATCACCAGGGCAGGGAAACCAGTATGAGCCAGGTTGCTGGAGTCCCAGGTATGGCGGCTGTCTGCCGCCTCAGGGAAGAGCTCACCAGAGGAACAACGGTCTTTGACAGCATGTTTGTCCCAGCAAAAGCCCCCTCTCCAGCCCTCGCTCCAATGCCAAACAGCTCAGTTCTTGCCTGTATGTGTCTGGCACACCTCGAGCTGCCTCCCCTCCAAGCTTAGAGGGAGTGAGTCCAATAAGTCCGTGCACGGGCCCTTTAAGAGGAGCTGTCTGGGGCTCCAGCCACCTCAGCCTCCTCCCTGAGCCTCAGTTCCCACTGGTTTTTCCAGCCAGAAGTTATGGGCATTCCCTTCCTGGCACTGCAACCCTGAGCAGGGCACCGGGTGTGGGAGGGGGACCCCCCCAGTCCTCAGGGAGGATCTTCCCAGGTGAGGTGTCCTCCTGATTTTTATCTGCAACACGTGGGTGTGGGACCAGCCCATCCGCCTCTGCCCCTCCTACCAGTGTGGATATGGCTGCTTCTTTAATTCCGTAGTTGTAGGACTTCCACTCAGCTTGATTTCAGGCGGTTTTGAATGATGGTTGTTCTATAGTTTAGTTGTAACTTTGATGTGGTTGTGGGAGGACGCGATACTGCTTTTACCTATGCCGCCATCTTGACTGGAAGTCCCTAGTTTGATTCTTTTATATTAAGCCTCTGGATTGACATAAAATAATTTATACCTGAAAAATAGTTTGTGGTTGGAAGAGTAAGGGCCTCAAAATATGTGCACATCCTAATCCCAAGAACTTTTGAATGTTATCTTATAGAGCAAAGGGAGTTAAGCTAGCAGATGGAATAAGGTTGCTAATCATTGATCTTTATATAAGAAGATTCACCTGGAGTATCCAGGTTGGACTAATGTTATCACAATGGTCATTTAAATGTGGAAGAAAGATGAAGAAGCATCGGAATCAGAGAGACATTCGAGGATGCTCTGCTGCTGATTTTGAAGATGGAGGAAGAGCCAAAAACCAAGGAATGCAGGTGGCCCCCAGAAAGTATAATAGAAAGAAAATGTATTCTTTCCTGGAGCCTCCTGAAGGATCCCAGTCCTGAAGACATCTAAATTTTAGCCCAATGAGACTAATTTCAGTCCTCTAATTTTCTAGAATTTTAAGATGGATATTTGTTTGTTTTATACCAGTAGTGTGGCAATTTGTTTCAGCAAGAATAAACATTTAATAGAGATATTTATCCAATAAATTACAATTTGCGGGAACTTATGGTTGTCAAGTGGCAAAGTGGTTGTGGGGCTGACTGAAAAAGGTGAAGGGATTAAGAAGTACAAGTTGGCAGTTACAAAATAGTGATGGGGATGTAAAGTACAGCATGGGGAATATAGTCAATAATATTCTAATAACTATGTGTGATGTTGGATGGGTAGTAGGCTTATCAGGAAATCACTTTGTTAAGTTATATAAATGTCTAACCACGATAATAATGAATGTTAACTGTAATTAAAAACTTTTAAGAAATATTTTTAAGAATTATTTGCAAAATTGCTTTCATATCATATTGTGTCAGGTGGGTACTTGAAATATCAAGGGGATCACTTTGCAAAGTATATGATTGTTTAACCACTATGCTATACACCTGAAATTAATTTGATTTGGGTGGTGGACACACAATGCAATATATAGATGATATATCATAGAATTGTACACTTGAAACCTATATAATTTTATTAACCAATGTCACTCCAATAAATTTAATAAAAATAAAAATTTAAAACTTGAATATCAACTGTAATTTAAAAATGAAATAAAACAAAACAAAACAATAATTGCTTGCAGGAACTGAGTTTAAGCCTCTCATTTTTTTGGTTTGTTTATTAATTTTTAATTTTTTAAATTTTTCAGTTACAGTTGACATACAATATATTAGTTTCAGGTGTACAACATAGTGATTAGACATTTATGTAACTTACAAAGTGATCACCCTGATAAATCTAGTACCATCAGACACCATAGATAGTTATCACAATATTATTGACTATATTTCCTATGCTGTATTTTACATGACTATTAATCCTCTCAATTCATTCAGTGAGCATCCCTTAGGTAAAGCCATTTTGTGTTGAAATCCCACCTTAAAATAGAAGATGCAAATTAGAGTCCTTTGGAGATATTCTGCCCCATTAGGTGGCACAGAGAATTCACCATTGCATTAGTGTAAATTTTCTGACCTTGAAATCTTTGACAATTTAAGATAGAAAAAATAATTTATTATTAAAATTAAAGTCACCCATTCTAAGGCTTTGTGTCAAAATTTCTACATCCTTTCCCTTTGTGTTAATTCAAACATTCATTCTTTTCACTTCTATTCCCTCCAACTCTCTCTCAAGATTTCTATTAGCCTGATAGGTGGAAATATTTGTGAGTCTGTGTGCATATACATACATGTGTGTGAGTGTGCTTATTTGGGAGAAAGACGTATACAAATGCACATACACAAACACCCCTAACCTTGAATGTTGTTTTTGGACTCAGCAGAATATTTCAACACATTTCACTATTCTACACATTTGTCTGAAATTAGAATTTATTATCTCACATTACCTTTATAAACGAGGAAACAGGCTCAGGGCGATTACATTTCTAACAATAACATAACACAGAACTTATTAGCATGTATGCATAACCAATTGACATGGACAACAAAGCCAGGGACAGGGCGGGGCAGGGGATGGGAAGAAGGGTGTCAATGGGGTAAAAAAGGAGAAACATCTGTAACAAAAATAAAATTTTAAAAAAACCAATAACATAACAAACGAGTTGTACACCTTTTCAAATATATACAAATACAAGTGTGTAGTAAATTTTTAATTTTTGTATGGCTCATTTAATTCAGCATGTTGTATATGCAGGATATTGGATGTAATTATGCCCCCAAAGCATTAGTTAGAAATTTAAAAATTCTAGTAGTGCATGGCTCAGGGTCAGATCTAGAGTGTAGGTAGCTGACTCACACCTAGAAGTGCTGGGAGAATATCTTCCAACCAAGAAGAAAGCAAATGTTGTACATGGATATGGGAATTAAATTAAAGCAATTATCATTTAATAAGTCCACTTCCCATAAATTAAAGACTCACCTTCATATATAAAGGGAATAAACAGACATAAATTGGTTCAAGACAGAAGAGCACTACAGCCACATACAACATCATGGATGAGCCTTAGAAACACAATATAGAGACTGACAGCTGACTACAGACCCATGAGGAGACAATCAGTACTCAGAACAACTTCCCCCCATATAATCCCATCTGATAATAAATTCATTATATTAAATCATCTGCTTCTAGGAGGACTTGTTATATAGCAACAGCTAACTGATACAATAATCAAAGGGAAAAGAGGTAAAGGAAATTATCATAATCTGTTGCTTGTCATGGTAGGGCTTTCTCCTGATATTTGAAAATAGCATTCATGATTACTGGTATTGAAGTTTATTTCAGATAACTGCATTAAAAAGTGACTCCATTGAGATTCCCTTGTAGGTAACTAGAAGAGGTTGAGAGAACATGCATGTTCATACAAAATTATGACTCTGAATGGCAGAGCTGGACAGGAATTCAATCTGTCTAGTGAGTCATACTTTGGTCATTTATATACATATATATGACATATCTATATATCACATATCTATATATCTGATGATATGGTTCATTCCCTACCCCTTTAGTGGTAATAAGAATACTTAAAGCAGGGGAGATGCTTTATTTAGAATAAAGGAGGGAATCGTATTTGTAGGCAGCAATGAAAGTTTTCAAGTGGAAGCAGGGAGATAATTCAATAGAAAACATAGTTATACCAAGCAAAATGTTACCCCAATGATAAATCCCTTTGCATTTTTAGAAAGATCAGTTATGGTAGTGATATATAGAGAAACAATGTACAAAAAGTGTTAAACTGTGCTCTTAAAATCCTCTCCAATGAAATGACATAAATGGCTTTGTTTCCCAAGTGCAGTTTAGTTTTAGAGTAGTATAACTCATGATGTTTTTTTTAGTAAAATGAAAAAAATTACCATGATAGATTTCATTTTAAAAGAAATTGTTCTTAAGAAATTTATGAAGTTTCATGAGATAAATGGGAATTTCCAAATATTTCACCCAAGGTTGAGAATCAATTTGGGAGAAGAGAAAAATGACAAAGAAAACACTGTTAGATATTACAAATTAAAAAAATTAAAGTGATTCACTTTAATTGTATAGAAAAGTTCAAATCATAGAAGCAGAAAATCCAGAAAATAAACAGAGACTAAATTCTACTTTCACACCATGACCAAAGAATCATAATATCTAGCTCCCAGGCTTTGAGTCCAGCTATTATGTACATTTCTTCAGCCCTAGGACAATTGGACCTTTTGTAGCTACCATCCCAACAAATCTTTTCAGAGCCCTCTTTATGTCTTTGTTCCTGAGACTGTAGATGAATGGGTTCAGCATGGGTGTGACCACCGTGTACATCACTGAGGCTGTTGCATTTGAGTAAGAGCTATTAGTAGCAGCAGAGCTGAGGTACACTCCTAGGCTTGTACCATAAAATAAGGAGACAACTGAGAGGTGAGATGCACAGGTAGAAAATGCTTTATATTTCCTCTGAGCTAACGAGATTCCCCATATAGAGAACACTATCTTAGAATAAGAGTAAATGATACCAATAAGGGGACCACCACCCAGGAGCCCAGCTCCAAAATACATCACCATGTTATTAAGAAAGATGTCAGAACAAGCGAGTTGAACCATCTGTTTGATTTCACAGAAAAAGTGGGGAATTTCCAGGTCAGGACAGAAAGACAGTCTCAATACCACTAAGCATTGTAACAAGGAATGCAGTACACTCATGATCCAGGACACCAGAACCAGCAGTCCACAGAACCGGGGGCTCATGATGACCATGTAGTTCAGGGGGTGACAGATGGCCAAAAATCGGTCATAGGCCATCACGGTCAGAAGGAAGTTGTCTAATCCTGCAAATAATAGGAAAAAATATATCTGGGTGATGCAGCCTTCATAGGTGATGACTTTGCTCTGTGTCTGGATGTTCACCAGCATCTTTGGGACGGTTGTAGAGGTGAAACAGATGTCTACCATGGACAGGTTGGAGAGAAAGAAGTACATGGGTGTGTGGAGGTGGGAGTCTGAGCTGATGGCCAGGATGATGAGCAGGTTTCCCAACACCGTGATCAGGTACATGGAGAGGAAAAGTCCAAATATGAGGGGCTGCAATTCTGGTTTCTCTGATAAACCCAGAAGAAGAAATTCTGAAACTACTGTAAGGTTCCTTAGTTCCATTTGATGGAGGTGACTATCAGGACAAAGGAAAAATAACATGACTAATTTTCCCACACTCAAGCTTTAGTAACCTAGCATAAATGCTACCATATAAATTTTAGAGTCTAGAAATTAATTTCCACCTGGCTGGTGTGGCTCAGTGGATTAAGCATTGTCCCATGGACTGAGAAGTTCTGGTTGATTCCTGGTCAGGACACATGCCTGGGTTACAGGCTCAGTCCCTAGTAGGGGCATGCAGGAGGCAGCTGATTAATGTTTTTCTCTCACACTGATGTTTTTATCTCTCTCTCCCTTCCTCTCTGTCTCTAAAAAATAATCAGTAAAACATATTTTAAAAAAAAGAAATTAATTTCTGTATCTGTTGTATGGTCTGGTCTTCTTGAGGTCATTTCTAGTGCCATTTCTCATTAGAATTTTCTTTTCCATGTAAAGATAAATGAAGAATTCTTGTTTCTTAGTCAATTATTTCAATATAAAAAATAAAAATAAAAAAGCCAAGGATGGGATGTAAAGCACAGGAGGGTGAATCTAGTTAATAACACTGTGTTGTATATTGGAAAGTTTCTAGAGAGTAGATTTTAAAACTCCTTATCACAAGAAAAAACTTGTAAATATGTGTGATGATGGATGTTAACTAGGCTTATGCTGGAGGTCATATCACAATATAGGCAAATATGGAATCATTATGATGTACACCTGAAACTAATATAATATTGTATACAAACTATACGTAAACAAAAAAGGAATAAAAATACTTTGATAACACTATCCAAAGCAAAGCACTTTCAGTTGTACAATACAGTGAAAGTTATATTGTATGCCTACTATACTTTAAAATAAATAAATTAATAAACAAGTAAAGCAAAAAACTTATGCAGACAAATTTTAATAGAGATTCTAATTAGCTTACAAATACAAATTTCATTACTCAGCCTCACAGGTAATGAAATAATTACAAAGTGAATCTCATTTGCATACTCATTTTCACCTACCACATAATTTTTTTATGTGAATAACCAAAGTGAGAGAAGATACTGTGAGATGTATGTCTCATGCACTGCTATTGCATGTGTATTTGCAAGCCTTCCTTGGTCTGAATCTTCCTCATCCCTATGGAAACAGTCTAAAATGCCCATCATAAAATTTAAAAAACACCCTCACATCACTGTATATTTCTTCACAGATAATAACCTATTTGTCTATTTCTGTTGATTGATGAGGTCCTTGAACTTATGTTCTATTTCTACTGAAAGAACTTTACACTTCTTATTCCCTTTCTTAATGTGTCTTCTATTAATACCATCTAATTGTTAACATTGACACTTGCATTTCTGAGTGCAATGTTCACTTTACTCTTATCGTCATGAATTAACACATTAATTTATTGGTAAAGACAGCCAACAACCACAGTGATCATTCGTATCTAGGCTATGTTGGAATGGTCTTCAGGTGGCTTCAGGTACAAGTTCTTGGCTTCCAGTCTCTCTAATTCTCTTCTGTTATGTCTGTTGTGTTATTGGACTCACCTGCATGTGAACTCTGAGAGGAAAGGTTCCCTGTGGAAGTCCAAATTCTTGCCTGGATGGATGATGAGGGGGACAAGAGCTCTGTCTCAGACAAGACAATAAGGAGTGATCAAGCATTGGTCTCCCAGACAGATTTAAGACTTTAAAAACAATGATCACATTTCATCCAACCAAAGGTTGCACATACTGAGGGTCTGCAGTAGAGTTGTTACTTACAGCTTTCTACATCTGCTCATTAGGCACATTTACTTCTTACTTTAACCTCTAAGCACGCGATTCTCCTTAGGGACACTGGTCTGGACAGAATGGAAACGTTTTTTGCTGAGCCTCTGTTCCTCGGAGACTATGTAATAAGCCAGATGGGTGAGTACAGCTTTGATTAGTCTTTCATTAAATATCCTGCTTCCTGACATCTACACCTCCAAGCTCCCCATCCCAACTCTGAGTTAAAGTTTCTGAATGGATGGACCTAGAGGGTATTATGCTCAGTGAAATAAGTCAGTCAGAGAAATACAAATACCATATGATTTCACTTATATGTGGAATCTGATGAGCAAAATAAATGAAATAACAGAATTGAAACAGACTCATAGGCAAAGAGAGTGGACTGGTTGTTGCCAGAGGAGAAAAGGACTAGAGGACTGGGAGAAAAAGGTGAAGAGATTAAGCAACACAGATTGGTAGTTACAAAACAGTTACAGGGATGTAAAGTATAGCATAGAGAATATAGTCAATTATATTGGAGTAACTATGTATGAGGCCAGTTGGGTACTGGAAATATCAGGTGAGGAACGTTATGTAAAGTATACGATTGTCTAACCACTATGCTGTACACCTGAAAGCTAAACAAAATAATATTGAAAGTAAACTGTATTTCCAGATCTTAGCTATTGTAAATAGAAAAAGACAAATACCACATGATCTCACTTATTTGTGGAATATAATGAACATAACAGGCTGAGGAATAGGGTAGACCCAGAGATGTGGAAGTAGGGTACAGACTGACAACCCTCAGAAGAGAGAGTGGTGGTGGGAGGGAAGAGATAAACCACAGAAATTATATGCATGTACGCATAACCAATGGACATGGACAACAAAGTCGGGGACAGGGTGGGAGGATATGGGGAGGAGGGTGTCAGTGGGGTAAGAAAGGAGAAACATCTGTAACAAAAATAAAATAGAAAAAACCCTGTATTTGAAAAAAAAATATGAGAAATTTGTTTGGTCTTTGGGTCCTCAAAGCATTGATTTATGGTAGGGACACAATCTCCAGAAAATTACCACTTTCCTCTTTAAGAAAGGGGAGATACTTATTTCTTTAGTATAAAATCTTGGGTACCATATTTACTGGCTTTATGATTGCTTAACCAAAACAGTCAGGAATTTCATAGTTATATCACATGTTAAGAGCTGCCATTTAGTCCCTTATTATAAAATCTTTATTAAATATAAGAAATATATTTAGATATGCACTATAACCCAGTTTAGCACATTATAACAATTGTCAAATTTATATTTTACAAAAATGCATTTTATGAGGTAGTACATTTATAAACTACCTTCTCCAATACAGAAATGGGGAAACAAAGGAAGATAATGTGCTCAAAAGTATAAGCCAAAAAAGGGATGACATTTTGATTGGAATCACTAGGACACTTCCAGTTCTGAGATTCTGGGGCAGTGGTTCTCAAACAGAGATGACTTTGCACCTGGGGATATTATAATGTCTGAAGAGAGGCTGCTAAACACCTATAATGCACAGAACAGCACCCAATGCAGACAATTATCCAGCCCCAAGTGTCAGCAGTGACAAGATGAGAACACCTATTCTAACCCAGCACTTCTCCACTTCATTACCCAAGTTTATAGTTCACATGAAAATCTTATTGATCAGGTCTCCAGTGGGCCCAGAGACTGCATTTCTGACAAGCACCCAGGTGGTGTTGATGCTACAGGTCCTCCTGGTCTGTGGACAGCAATTTGAGAAGCTTGGCTGTGGCTCTATGTCAGAGTCAGGTGTAGGTAATTTGAGGTCTTCTCCACCAGGAATCTTCTGTGTGTGTAACTTTGAAAGACAAGTTTTTCTTTCATTCTACAGGGAAGAATAAATTCTGTGTTTGATTCTTTTATATTAGGGCTTCAGAGTGACATCAAATAATTTATATCTGAAAAAGTATTTGTAGTAGGCAGAATGAGGGCCTCAAAAGATGTCCATGTCTTTATTCAGAGAATTTTGGGATATGTTAGCTCACAGAGCAGGATAACTAAAATAGATAAAAGAAAGTAATTAGCTAAGGATATTAGTTCAGATTATCCAGATTGGACTAATTCATCACGATGGTCCTTTAAAGGTGGAGGAGAGCAGAAGAAGAATTGGAGTCAGAGAGACATTTAAAGATACTATGTTGCTGGCATTGAAGATGGAAGAAGGGATATGGGCCAAGGAATGCAGGTGGCCTCTAGAAATTGGAATAGAAATTGAGAATGAAAAAGGAATTACAGAGGGATTGCATTCTCCCATGGATCTCCAGAAAAATCCAAGCTCTGCAGACATTTTTATCAAAGCCCTATAAAACCCATTTCAGGTGTCAAACCTCTAGAACTTTAAAATAGAAAGTTGTTTGCTTTAAACCAGTAGTGTGATAATTTATAACAACAGTAATGGGAAACTGACACAGACATTTGTCCAATAATAATATTATTTGAGGGAACTGAGTTTAAGCCTCACAAATCATTCAGTTGACTTCTCTTAAGCAAAGGTATTTTGTGTTGAAATCCCACATTAAATGGAAAAAATTAAAGCTGATTTAGAGCTATTTGGCCCCATAGATGGTACAAAGAATTTGCCATCACATAAATGTAAATGTGGTTCTGATCTCACGGCCTTTGAAGCATTAAGATAGAAAAAGTAATTCATCAAGATTAAGGTCACATTGCTGAGCATCTTAATCAGAAATGGGTGATGGATTTTGTCAAATGCTTTTTCAGTATCTATTGATATAATCATATGGTTTTTATCTTTTATTTATGTGGTGTATCACATTTATTGATTTGTGAATATTATAGCATCCTTGCATCCCTGGAATGAATCCCACTTGGGCATGTTGAATAATTTTTTTATGTATTGCTGGATCCAATTTGCTAGTTTGTTTTTTTTCCAATTATCTATTTTATTTATTTATTTTTTTATTAATTAATTTTTGTTACAGATGTTTCTCCCTTTTCCCCCACTGATTCCCCCCCTCCCTGCCCTTTCCCCAGTTTGTTGTCTATGTCCACTGTTCATGCATACATGCATATAAGTTCTGTGGTTCATCTCTTCCCCACCACCGCCCTATTTAGGGGATTGTCAGTCTGTATCCCACTTCCGCGTCTCTGGGACTACCCCCTTCCTGAGACTGTTATGTTCATTATATTCCACAAATAAGTGAGATCATATGAAACTTGTCTTTCTCTGTTTGGCTTGTTTCACTTAGG